AGAACCATAGATATAAAAGAAAACCAGTAGTAGAGGTGTGTTGGCTTGTCATTCATTCAGCTATTGTCATTTACCAAAAATATAGTTAGTGCTATGCACTATGAGATAGACACAAATATCTTAGAATTATTAAGATGGAAGTGTCTTCATCTTAACTCATGGTTTCTGGGCTTCAGAATTTAATAGGCCAATTCTAACCCCTCCCCCAACATTTGAGGGATCAGCATTTATATCCCAATTTTTTATTCTACCCAGTGAAGAGCATTAACATCTATCTACTCTTTTCTGCCATCATTAATTCATAAAAGAAATTACATTTTTGTATCAAAAAAGTAGAAAGAGCAAAATGGAATAATGTACAGTCTATTAAGTTGAATCTTTACATCTATTTAAAAATGCCTTTATTTTTCTCATTTTTCAGAGGACCATAAAAAATTTTTCCATAGACTGGCACTGATTCAGACCAAACGATCAATCTTCAAATGAGAATATTGAGGTGGATTTGTCAAAGGCAGTACAGTCGGTCAGCTGCAGAGTTGCATCTAGTACTCAAGTCTTTTAACTCTCAACTGGTGTTTTCTATCATATCACACTGTTTTTTTTAAAAGGCACAACCTTTTTTTTTCAAAAAGCTCAAAATATTGAGAGGAAGATTGGATACATAACCACTAAACTTAGAATGTGATAAAGGCTACAAGAGATGAACAGTACTCTAATAGTTCTAGGGAGGAAGAGTTCATTTGCAGCTGAAAAAGCAAAGAAGGTTGTAAGGGATAGTATTTTCACCAAAGGTGAAAAGTAGAAGGAATCTAGTCCAATAATGATGAAGGGAAAGAGCATTCCTGGAAAAGAAAATAGTACCTGCAAAAGCAAGATGGCTACGAAGTTCAGGCAGCAGTAAAAACCTAACTAGATTGCTGTACTCTTGTGGGTGTGTGATGGGGAATAAAAGAAAATGAGTGTAGAAATGTAGTTGGTGATTAGCCACAGTGGGCCTCAATGGAAAGACTTGGGATCCTAGACTTTACACCCTAGACACTGAGGAGTCATTGACAGTTTTTTACAGTGAAATGATACAATCAGTGCTGTGTTTTAGCGAGACCCATCTAGCAGTGATGTATAGGATGGCACGTGAGACATTAAGCCTGCAGTCCGGGTGAACTAATTGGAAGCTAACATAAGAGCCCAAGGTCGGGGGAGGGAAGGGCCAGAACAAGGGCAGAAGCAATGAGATTAGAAAGAAGAAAATATTCTGCTAGTAGAAGCAGCAGAGTTTAGTTGCAGACTTGATGTGGGGAGAGTCAGGTGTCCAGCCTAGCTGACAAGATGGAAGTCAGCAGGAACACCGGCTTCAACAACAGGGAGGACTGGGCAAAGTCACAATGAATAGTATAGTTCGGAAAATTTTGTTAAGAGCAACAAAACATGTTCCAACCTCTCAAATATGGGCTTGCTAAAAATGTATTGGTCTAGAATACTGTGTGGATAAAAAAAAAGTTAACACACATGAATGCTCTAATTATTTTCAATACTTGAAAATCGTGTTGATTGCCTGGGTTTGATGACAATAAATTGCTGCCAATCCTCATTAAAAATCATGCAAAAAAGGGGGTGAGGATAAATTAGAATTCCAGAGCTATCAGGGATCTCGGAAAGCACAGGCCAATTCCTCATTTCGAGAGAAAGAAATTGAAGCCCGGAAAGACACAATAACTTGCTCAGAGAGATGAAGGTAGCTAGTGGAAAACTTAGGACTAAAACGCAGGTCTCCAAATGTCTAGCCATTGTTGTCCATGGAACAAGACTCTGCTTTTCCTTAGGAAGACTCGGCAATGTTTTATTTCAGTTCCATTCCCTCTATTGTCTTTTCTTCATTGTGTTCCTCCAAACAAGTTCTTGAGAACACCAAGGACCTACTGCTGACTTTTTCCCTCTTTACTTGCTTGTATACCTCCTAGCCATTCTTTTTTTTTTTTTGACTGGTAAGGGGATCGCAACCCTTGGCAGGGCAGGGTGTGGTCCGCACCACGCTCAACCAGTGCCAGCACCAGCCATCCCTATATAGGATCCGAACCCAGGACCTCGGCACTACCAGCACCACACTCTCCCAAGTGAGCCACGGGGCTGGTCCCCTCCTAGCCATTCTTTTAAAAATAAATAAATAAAGTAAACAATTTTGCTGTATTAATTAATCATTCTAGAATGTCAAGGGGAATAAAAATACAGTAATAGGTGAATATAAGAGCATATAATTCTTCACAAAAGAGAACAATTTATGCTGCCCAGCATCTTCAGGACAAGTCTGAAAATTATAGTCAGGTAACAGTGCTGACCTACAGAAGGAAGGATTTCAAGATTCCTGGGGGAAAAGCCAGAGGTTATTTTGCATTATTAGAAGGTACTGTATTATATTAAATCATATCTACACAGCTAAAGGGGATGTTAAACAATCATGGTTGTTGATTTATCCAGGGATTAGGGGCCTGTTAAACAGGCAAAAGCTGTTATCTTGATCCCAAATGGGAAGAATTGAGTACAACTCATGTATTCTAAATGTCAGCACATCATGAATTCACCGACGTGACATGAGGACAGAGAGATCAAAGTAGTTACCTATTGACTATACTCCCTTCGAGAGCCAATGCAGCTCCTCCAATTCCCAACAATCCACATTTTCCTTAATGAGCAATTTATTATTTATAAATGTCTCTCCTCCCCACTCTCCTGAGCACCCGTGCAGACCCAGCTATGGAGCAATGCAGGCTGACTACTATCAATTGGATGCCAAATTTGTGTTGGTCTTGAGTTGATGTGTGTTCTCTCCTCTAGGCCTCATAACTCTGAGTCAGGCACATTTTCAAACGAGGAAAAAAGTTGAGAGGGGTTAAGAAACTTGCTCAAGATCATACAATTTGTCAATGGAAAGGTCAGAAATCAAACCAGGTATATCTGCTGCCAAATCCCATGATCTTAACCATAGGATCCTGCCCCAACCCCAGGCCAGATATAGACAGAATATTTATATGAGTAGAATGTACTCAGACACTGTGTATGAAGAGAAGGTAGAAGTGAAAGGAATTTCAGGTCCCCGTGTTTGGTCTTCTTTCACTGTCAAAGTGAGTTGTACCCTTCTAGCTTCAACTCGAGTTACAGAAATGGCTCTGCTGGCCTCTGAACTGATCTTGATGAGGCAATAGAATGTTCATTTTTCAGTGTTCTAGTTTTTCCTACAAACTAAATTCTAAAGATGAAATATTTAATGTCATATCATTGCCTTCATGAGAAACTAATGATTAAAAATGGTACTGGGATAGCCTTAGAAAAATGCAGTCAGTTATCCAAAGAATTTTTACTCTTATACCTCTTCTTCTGAGCCAGACCTAATCCTAAGCTTCCAGTTGCTCCAAAGGCCATGTCTGTATTGCTGCTATATTTTCTATCAGAGCCTGAAAAATGTTATTAAAGTTTTCTATATGGACCCTCCGTGGCCTCAGCAATTTTACTTTCTAAGGAATTTGAGAGAGCTTAACAGTTTTTAAATAGCACCCAAAGCAAACTAAAGCTCTTCCTTTACCTTAGTTCAATTGTGGCATCCACATCTGGGGATCTCAAGTTGGAAACACTTTATGGCAGCTGAGAAAGTCTGACAACCATATAGTACTTAACATTTACTGGACTAAAGGCCTGTTGTATATCAAACTCCTCTAAGGATAAAGAATACCTAAGGAATCTTATCCAGATGCACCATGAAAGATAGAAATATCCCTGCTATATGAGGCCAAATATGTATAACTCACCTTCACCTGCCTGGTACATAGTAAATACTCAGTAAATAATTATTGAATGAATGTTTTCCTCTATTGCTTTCACTGTCAGAGAACAAAGTGGAGTACCCAATACAAAAGGGATTGGGTATAATAGTATAATTTAATTTTGCTTCAAGCTGGCCCCAACTAAAATATACAGATTTTCAAGCAAGATAAACAAAAATCTCTTTGTTTCAAAACAGGTTCACTGCAGGGTCCTTTTAATTAGACAATTTGTCAAAAGATCAAATACAATCCAATTCACAAAAATGGGATTCACATATAACTTTCAGAAAACTGCATAAGTGAGACCACCTGTAAATCCATCTAGCCACCCTCTTTTTAAAAAAGAACAATGTTTAGAATGACCACAATAATTCCAGACTTGGCTTCTCTCTCCTTCCTCCCCTCCCCATTCCACATATCTCCTGCATTCATCTTCCTAGTTCACACGTGTGTGTCAACATCAGAAAGAATGTTAATTCTTCCAGGAAAACATCCCTTATTTCCCAAACCAAGCCACGTATCTGTCATCGAAATTTTCCACTGTATTATTATTAAGTAGTTAAGCATTTTTCACTCAACTAAAATCCTTCTTTTTTTAAAAGGGAAAAACACATCTTAATCAGCTCTATTTCTCTAGTAAGCCTGGAACATAGTAAGTTCTCAATAAATACTTATGGGATGAATGAGCATATTACAGACATAAAAAATCTTACAGATCTTAGGATGTGGCTGATGATCACACAGAGTGTAAATGGAAGTGGTGGGATTTAAATAGCGGTTGAGAGCCTTGATAATTTTGACATAGCCTGGTAGAAGGATACACAGAAAACTGCAGATAAGAGTGAAGTCATGAACCAAAACTTGCAAAGGAATTCCAAATGATGAGGTTTATTTGCCAGGGTGTAGTACAGACCATAAACATAGCCACAGTACAGAGAGACATGAAAATAACTAGGAGGTTTAGTTCTCTTAGTCAAAACTCCTGTCTGATCTAAACCTAAAGTATGCCAGCTGTTACCAGGCATTACTATATTGTCATCACCAATGCCCTGTGTGCACTGCAAGACTGGTGTCTCTCCTTCCAGCTCTTCAGTGCTATGTAGAAGGACTAAGCATTTCTTACCAAAAGCAAGAATAAGCTCCTTTTAAAGCAAATGCATCAAGAGACTCTCAAGTGCAACTGCTTACCTGCTGGTTCTGATAAGCCGTGACTGTTGTGAACACGGTCTCAGGAAAGTTGAATGTTTTTACCCCATCACCCACAGGAACAGGCTTGGTAGGTGAAAGGTCGCTGCTGAAATCCTTGCGAATCACATGAACTCGAGGCTGGTATTTGTGCATAGAATGCAGAATGATCTGAAATAAGAAGAGAAAACATTACAGCAGGCTTGGCTTTAAGGTCTACATCTTTTCAAGCTCGTGTGCAAAATAAATCACAGGATGGAAGCATTGTAAGAGCACAGATTGGGGGTGGGACATACAGGAAACTGAAAATCACATGGAACCATATAGCAGGATATCCTTATCATGGATGGTAGATGTACTAGGTCTGCTTTCATTGGATAAATGCTGAATGACTGTTTTAGTACCAGTAGACACCACCACTAAAAGGTCTCAGAATCTCTACCATGTGACAGATTATGCTCTCCAGTTTCAAATTTTCAGCATGAGTTCATACTGTCTTTAAATTTTACACACTATTATTTGCACTCATTATTGAACTTATGGACATTCTTTTATGTTATGTGAGAGTGAATGGTGTATGTGTGTTCTCACTGCCTCAGAAAATTGTCATTTCCTTGAAGATAGGGGCCATGGAGTTAGCTTCTTCAATCTTCCTATAGCACCCAGTATAGTCCCTGGTACTCAGGGAAAATTCAGTACATGTTTTACTGCCAAAGATAAATTAATAACATCAGGTGCTCCAACTATATCTGCAAAGCCTTAAGACCTACTCTTCTCTTAAAAATTCATAAATTTCTTGACAAATCAGCCAAAACTGTCATTCACTTGTTTCCCATAGTTTATTGCCTTGTGAGTTAGTCTACTGAATGTTGTGATTTCTTTTACCACTGTTTAATTTGTCTTATGTTTCTGTCTTGCCTCCCTGATTAGGTTGTAAGTCCCTGGAGCATAAAGACTTTGATAAACACAACCTGATGCATAACAGATGTTTGCTAAGTGTTAGATTTGTAATAAATGGAATTTAACTGGAGGAAAAAAAATTTATGCATATTTACTTAAAATGACTTAAAGTGCCATAGAGATTCTTACTTTACCTATATGGAAAAGTGTGGAGTTAGTCAGCTCTAAAGCAAAAAGGGGAGGAGGAAGGGAGGAAAGGGGAGATGAAATTCTTTGACTCACATGTCCTTGATCATCCAATTCATTGTTGGTCAGCTTGAGTTTGTCGAAACTGACCACCTGTCTCATCCAGGTGTCTCCAGAAGCTAGAGAATCAGGGTGTATATAAACTCTCGGGGGCACAGGAGAATCAGCATTGCCAGCCACCATCCACTTGGAGCTATGATACACATATCTGAGACAGAGAGGGGGAGAGAATTCAAAGACAGATGCAGAGAGGGGATAGAGGCCCAGGAAACAAGTAGAGACGGAAAAGAGGAGAGACAAAGACAAAAATGGAGAAGTAACAGGAGTAAAACAGAAAATACAAAGGAGAAAAAGAGAAGAGCAGATATCCAGGGAAAATGAAGTAGAGATGGAAATGGACAGTGAATGGAGTGAGGGGAGGGCAGAGAAGTGTTGTGGTTAATGATCAAAGCTACAGCTCTCACGAGGAAAGCATTCTTGCAGCCCTTGTTCTTTCTTCTCTCTCTCCTGCCATGCACCCCTGTGTGTGTGCAGGCATCCTGAGCCCACGTGTCTAGCTATGGAAAAGGTATTTTACTGCAACCTTTCACCTTTCAAATGCAAACCATATAATCCCTTGGCCACTTGTTCAGGATTTTGTTCCTTATTAAAAACATCTTCCATATTGTCCTATAAAATGCAGCCATGTGCAGAGACCCTCCAGGCCTCTCACTTGTTAACCATTTCCTTGCTAAGAGTCTGAATTTTGAGGCATTTTTATGATAATGGAGGACCTTTGCCTTAGTACAGCCATTCTCAGAAACACCACCACATCTTCCCAGTTACTGTTTTCTCTGATGAACCTAGTTTTGAACTTCATTATCTTCCAGATTATTTTCCCACAAAGAAACTGGAAATGGGATGTTGCTGGTAGCAAAGGAAGTCAGTTTTCCAGACTTTGCCAATTGTCCACAGTTCTGAAGAGCTGTCTCTATGGATCTAGCACTTCCCTGCTTCTCAGTTCTAAAAGACCGCATGGGACCAGGACCCTGGCACACGGAGGCACTCAGTCCAAATCACAACTCCCAAGGAGTTCTAAAACAGACTGGAAGCATCTTCTTTCCTAAGTTTTGCCACCCAGACCACATCTCTCTTGGCCATTTCTCTCTCCCTGCCATACTAGTTGTGACCTCCCCAATTCATCTCTGACCTCCAGATTCATGGGTTTAGGGCCAAGTTCTCAGACTTTAAATATTTCAGAAAGGAGCCATGATTCACTGATGAAATTGAGATCTCCAGAGATTGAATAAGCCCTAACTTTTTTCTTTTTTTTAAATTTATTTTTTATTTTTTTTTATTTTATCAATATACAGTGTAGTTGAATTTCATGTCCCTTTACCAATTCCACAACCTTTTTCTGACAAGAGCTACATATAAGTCATCCAAGAGACATAAAAACTGTGTTGGCTTTTAATGACTTTAAGGGAAAGTTATCTCAAAACTCTCTTACAACTCATATTAATGAACAATAATTCTCCCTAACTATGTGTTCTTCTTGAAGTCTTACCCAATTCTCCTATTCTTCCTCTCCATCATCTACAGGGTGATCTATCAGATATGATTGAATACAAACTGGTCCACTCTCCTTCCCCTCTTGAAAATAAATCATCCCAACTCATTTAGCATTTCCCAAACCAAATCATTTAATATGTTAATCATTTTAAATGTTAATTAAGTTAATTTTAGACTTAAGATCCATTTGATGATTTTTGCTACCCAGGGAGACACTATACAATCCATTCTGTCCAGAGACATAGGGAGGACTCCAGACAAAACTGTTACTGAGCCCTGATTTCCTACTTGTTACTGTTTCCTGCTTGGTAAACTGCCACAGGCCACTACCATATCCTCTATTCCTTGTTCCCTGTACACTATACATTGCTAAAATGCTTTATCTAATGAGTTTAAAGAACCGTCGTGGAATGCTGGTGATGCCCACAATTCCACATCCCAGAGTCATTATTACCTGTATCTTTTGTTGTCCACAGGCACAATGTCCATTGCTATATAGTACTGCTGGTGTGGATCCAGGCCAGTGATTTTCACTCTCATGGCAGGAAACATTCTCCTGTGAAGGAGAATATTGTTGCAAGCTCAGCAATCAGAGGGGGAGAAGTAGCAGGAGTAAAAACTTAAAAGAGTGTCTTTTTACTGTGTACTCTAAGCACATCAAAGTTCAGTGTCCTCTAACTTTCAAAGCTGGCTGATTATTTTTCATTTTGGAAATTATCACAATAAAGCATGCTGGGGACTTATATTGCTGAAATAGCATCTCTTCTTAACTTAAATTGACATATTTAATGATGTATACACTCAAAGGGCTCATACCACGCTCTGCTTTATATTTTTAGTTAATCTTTAATGTGATATATATGTATGTGTAGATATGTGTGTGTGTGTATCCACACATACATTTCCTTAGCTATAATCTTCTTAAAGGTAGACATAATTATACTTTTCTTATCATTATACTTTTCTTATTACCCAAGAAGCTTATCACAGTTTATTACAGGTCATCATAAAATGTTTTTTGACTGACTGAGTTTATCTGAAATGACCACTCTAAAAATAGTCTCTCAGAAAAGAAGGAAAAAATGAAGGTGTTACCAGTCCCCAAACAAAGGTCCACCAAAGTTACTTTTAGTTCATAAAACTGTAGAAAAATTCTGCAACTTCTCAGGCTGTCAATGTGTGTGTCAGGGGAAGGACCCTGTGGAATAGGGAACAAATATCAAATGAATTCTAGTGGCCTCTGGGCAATACCTTGCTTCTACCACAATGGCTTGTTAAACTTGCCAAAGCAAGTAAGGTCAGGATATAGCACTTTACAACTTCTCTCATAATTGAAGAGAGGAGGAGAGGGAGAAGCCCAAAAAGGATTGAGTTTCAACGAGTCTAGAATAAAGTTCACTATTCTTCTTTAATCATAAGAAAGAAGAAAAGTATTGAGCTCTTTTGTATCAAGCCAGACATAAAAAGTGCTCAGTTCAAAAATTTGGGTTGCCCTGAGTGTGCTCTAGAGTACTTGTACACAAAATGCTGCACTAAGCTTAAGCATCTGGGGCTAGTTAGTCGAGCTGGGCAGAGCACAGTGCTAACGAGGTCAAGGTCACAGACTTGATCCACATACGGCCTAATTGGCTTTGCTCCATTTCACGGCCACAGACAGCATCTTGCATATGTGTACTGGTGGGTTACATGAGAGGCTGCCTGTGCTAGTCACACGCTCACTTTTCATCCAGGGAAAGCACCCCAAAAGGTAGCTGCCCTCTGGCAGTAGGTCAGTGACATCATAATCATGTTCAAGGCAAAGTACAAGAAGGACCATAGACCTTGAATAGGAATAGTGGCTAATTCTTAAATAGTTCCAAAGAATAATATATAACCATTTTTTCTTTCCCACTTTATTAGTTTTCAGAAGCCTCTGTTGGTATATCATTTTAGATTTTCTACTCCTACCCTCACAAGTTTAATCAGAAAGTCTTATAGTTTAGTCTTATCATGGGATAATGAAATTTGATGGTGGGCTACTCATAATGACTGAATCTATAGGTTAGGCTTTTTTTTTTTTTTTTCCCTTTTTGTCTTTTTTCTTGACCGGCAACGGATCGCAACCCTCAGTGTCGTGCCCGTACCGGACCGGGACCGGCCACGGGATCGCAACCCTCGGTGTTGCTCCCACACCTCGCTCAGCCAGTGAGCGGCCGGTCTGTATGTGGGATCTGAACCCTCGGCGGGAGCGCCTCTGCGCTTCTCAAGCGGCGCACTATAGCAGTGTGCCACCGGGCCGGCCCATATAGGTTAGGCATTTTGATCCACATTAATTCTTTCCAAAAATTTGGGAACCTTTATCTATACATTTAAATGTAGATCACTAATTTTCTTCTTAATAATAATGATTTATGAGGGTACTACAAAAAGTTCATGGAAAAATAGAATTAAAAGATAGTTTGAATCTTTCCATGAACTTTCTGAAGTACCCTCATGTATAAATGATTGAAGGGCCTCTTGTCAGTGATAGGGAGAAAGTCCTCTCACTTACTACCTGAGATTAGAAAATGTGGTTTCTCTCAGCCACCTACAGAGTCTATATTACTTTGAAAGAGATGGATTTCTTTTCCTGATGACTTCAGGAAAATGGTTTTGTTGTTTTCTAATTCAATACCTTTTTTTTCTCGAACAGTTACATGACCTTGAGTGGGAAAGCCACCCCTCTCTTTCTAGTACTAAAGTTCTAAAATCAATGAGCTGTGTGACTTTGGATAAATCACTTAGCTCCAAAGAGAATAGATAATCTCTAAGGTGTCCTCCTGTTTTAAAATTCTATGACTATGTTTAAATTTTCTTAAAAACGTTGCAAGCATTGCTTTTTCTTTTTGTCAGTATTTTAGCACAGAATATCAAATGAAGTCACACACTCCGGAGAAAAATTAATCTTTCATATTTCACAAAATAAGATATGTTTGTTTTTAATGTTATGGCTAAATTTAGGCCAGTTATTTTTCTTCCAAACCTATTAATCCCTACAAGCACCTCTGTCCGTGGTGCTGATTGTACAGATTGTGTTGGTACATTCAAAGATAGTCGACTCTGTACACCACAGTAGTTCTGAATCAACAGAATTAAAGTTTGGGGTCTGAAAAAAGGTAGATGGTGACTAAGACCTTCTGAGTGGGAAAAAAAAAGCACAGAGATTCATGCACAACTAACATAACTAAGAAAATGAAAATTGGAATTAAAATTGAAAAGGAATTCACAGAAGAAAAAAGCCTTCTTTGTATGTTTCTGCATTGTTCCATAATGACTGAGCAGAGTAACAAGTAGCAACTGCAACAGCTGAGGCAATTCAACGCAGAAGCAAAGAATGCAGCTCTAAACCTGAACAAAGGACTTCAAAACGACTGAAGAACAAACTGTGTCTGTGCTAGGGTATACGGGGAAGAATTCATGTGTCAAGCTAACGTTGTGAAAACAAAGATGTGAAAAAGAAAACGCTGCAAAAGAAATCATGAAATGAGTCAGAGTTATTAAGAAGGTGCTTAGATGAACTGACCACACTGAAGTGCAGGGAATGAGGGAACAGTATCAGGAGCAAGAATAAATGGAATACACAGACCCAACAGCAGTAAGGTGAAAAACCCAAAATTAGCACTGAAAAATCTTACAGACAAAAAGCAATTGTAATATTTCCCCTCTCTCCAAACCAACCTCTCTGCTAAAACCTGAAAAATAAATAAAATAAAATAAAATAAAAAGTTTTTCCTTGAATTGCTTTGTTCTCTTCCAAGCCTTAACACCACAGAATATAGAACAGGAGTACAGTGAACCCCAAGCAACAACAAAGGGATGGCATTAAAAGTAATTCTCCTTGGAAGGAGAACAAGATTTCAGGTGCAGCCTCTTTGCGTCTGCGGCCGCAGTGTCCGTGCATCTGCAATGATGGTCGTGCAGAACTGCTCCAGTTTCCTGATCACGAGGAATAAGCAGACAAGCAGCACCCAGCGCAGTAACCTGAGAGCCCGCAACTCCTGCTGCGATGGGCTGAGGCACCATCAGCCGATGGGCATGCAGCCGGCAGCCGGCAGCGACAGCAGACGTGTCTTGGTGGTCATGAAGCGGAGGTCCGGCCAGAGAAAGCTCGCTACCCCCTACGTACGGACCACCAACAAGAACGCCCAGGCCACCCTCAACAGAACGGGCACATGGTCCGCGAGAATCAGGACCGCCCTGATCTGCGCAGAGCCGCCGTCCGCAGAGCCAGCGCCGTCCTGCTCAGCCAGAAGCCTGTGATGTTGAAGAGGAAGCGGCCGCCCTACCAAGAGTTCCTGAGCCCCCCATCCCCAAAAGCAATAGTCAGCTGACTTCTCTCGGGGTTGGGAGGGGAAGATTTCAGGATCATTTAAACCTCATGTTTTTGTGATGTCTTATTGTATTGGAAAGGTCCTCTATAAGCATATAGGGGAACTGGACCAATCTAAATATTCTTTTACTTTAAATACAGCTTACAAGCAATGAGGTAGATCTTTTTGGTCCCCATGACATGTGAAACTATGTAAATTGGCTTTGAAAATGTCAAAGTAGCATAATTGTTTCGCTTAATTTCAATTAACTATTCTTATATACTCAAAGTTTTGTCCAAATTTAGTTTTATCTAAATCATTTTCATTTTGAATTCAGGGAGCAAGAACTACAATCATTTTGTAATAGTGCAAAGTTAGAAATAGTTAAGACTATCGTTTTAGAGCCATGCAGATTTATGTAGAATCCTGGAGCTTCCCCTTAGTACTTCTGTGCCTTAGTCAGGTTAATTAACCTCTTTCAGCCTTTGTATCCTTATCCAGACATGGGATAACCATATCCTACCTCATAGAATTCCTGTGAAGTTTAAATAACTATGGGAAATTGAAAGATATTAACAAAAGAGAAGCTTAACCAGAAGTGTCTGTTTCAAGAGATACTGTGTGTTTAAAACTTTTAACATCCTAGATAAGAAGTTTTGCAAGAGAATCCACAGATCACCATTAAAGGTTTGTAATAATTTCAAGCCAACAATGAAACATAGTCAATAAACAGCAGGGTTCAGAAAATGCACCATGCCCAATTCTTGTGAAAAAAAAATTGTTTTTACACAAATATCTGTTTGCTTTAAATGCCTTAGAAGATACAAGCTATTGTTTAGGGAGCAAACTTCTTGAAAACATTAGAGGTGAAGTAAACACTTACTTTGGAAATCTATCTTTTGGTTGTTAAGATACCATGAACCTCCAGTATTAGCCAAAATACATTTGTAGGTGGAAAATGTTTGTGAGGGTAAAGATGGTTTAGATTTGAGTGGCCCTGGGAAGAAAACAGCAAAATCACAGTAAACACAACAGGACCACTTTACAGAATGTCCAGATGCAGAAAAGTGAGTTCAAGTTGCTTCAGCTTCACTGATGTTACCACAGATAACTGGGGGAGAATGTAATGGCTCCTACTTCAGTGGATTCTTCAAAGCTGGCCACTCAAAGGCATCTGTCCTTACCTGCCTGCTTTGGCGATGATCATTTTGGTTCCAACGTTAAAGGCACTTGTCCTTACCTGCCTGCTTTGGTAATGATCATTTCGGTTCCAATGTCATGGAACCTCTTCCAGAGGTCAGCACATTGCAGCTCCACCTGAATCTCCTCCATGGAAGACATGGCAGCAGGCACAGGGCCTGCAGCCCCAGAGGCCAGGTCAGGGTGGGTGCTGAAGGAGCAGGAAGTCCGCTCAGTGAGCACCTCAGAGTCCGAACCAGTGCTCTGCTCAGAATCTGCAACATAAACAATCAAGCCTTAGGTGAGAAACTGCTGTGAGCCCCCCTAATTCTGGCCCTAAAAAATGGGGACTGGGAATGTGGTGGAGTGGGGAGAGAGGTAAACAAAAGGAGACTTAAAGCTGGGAAGCTCCAGAGCACAGCATTCAGGGCATTTTATTTTATTTTTTTTATGGTTTGTTTTTGTGATTTACGACCTTCTTTTAGGTTTCATGTTTCCAACATGACATCTGGCATTTTACTAAGTTTTAGCAACAGCTGAAGAAAATTGGTCCACAGCAGGCAATATAAATAGTACTAATGTCACCATGTTGAAGAGTATGAGGCCAAACCGGAGAAACAAAATAAATGCCAAATTAAGGTAAAATAATAATTACAGGCTATAGCTCCAAATCTAGATTAGACTATTATATTCTTTAATTTCATACCACTCAACATCATTGCCCATTAGTTAGTTATTTCTAAACATGGCAATTTTTCCTCCACTTACATATGCCCTGGTCATCAAAAGTAATGAAAAGTTGCTTGGGATCTTTAGAAGCACTTGTCATATATCTAAGTAAATGGCTTTTCCTAAGAGTAAAATCAGGCCATTTTAGGTGGGGGTAAAAAACCTCTGTTGTGAGCCAAAGATATAAGCATATGGAAAAAGTTACCCAAGAAGGTGGCTGAAACAAAGGGAATAAATGAGTTCAGGAGACACCTTGATTGGTTTCTGAAGTATGGGCAGAGGGGAAGGGTGATCCAAACAGGAAGGTGGGATTGAGAGCAACCAAGTAAAAAGCTGGCATGCTGGGCCAGATGGTCCTTTCCTGTGTCTTCCGTACTTATGAAGAGAAGTGGGTTGGGGGAAACAGGGGAAGTATACTGATGGAGAAGACTGGAATCTGATTTACCAGAGAAGAATCTTCTGGAATTTTTAAAATTTACTTTTAGGAGCCTGATGCCAAAAATTGTATGTCCTAAGATTTTCCAAATTCAGATTATCTACATTTTAATTTTAGGTCAAATTATACTGCAAGTTACAAGAACCTACCACCCTTTACATCTAGGATTCTGATTGGTTTCCTCGTAAATAAATATATACATGAGTATAGGTGGGAAACACCAGTGTCTTACCCTGACACATGATTTTTCAGTGCTGTCAAGTGTCAGGTGTTCTTGGATATTAGTCCTTGACACTAGTAAGAAGGATAGGACAGAATGCCAGACCATTTGCTGCCATCTTCACTTACAAAAGTATTTCAAAAAGTTCATGGAAAGATTTGTATTATCTTTTAATTCTTTTTTTCCACAAACTCTGTGAAGTACCCTCATACCTATAGTAGGTTTTTAGACTGGATAACAACACATACCATGGTTCCTTTATTTTTAGCCCTGACTTGTTTCTCTCTCAAACCCAGGCAGCTTGTTTAACAAGACTATCCCACAGCTTTGCCAAAGTCCACAGGAATAAAGTGCCCACAGGAAGAAAAGGACCATTCCTCTCCCTCTTCCCCAGTTCCTAACCCATCACTTCTGAAGATATTCAGGTTGCTGCAGAACTGAATCAAACTCCTAAGTAAAGGGGAAGTTGCTGACCAAAAACTTTAGTTTAACTATAATCACTAGTCCGGTCATTATCTTCATACAAAAAAAAAAAAAAAAAAAAAAAAGAAAAGAAACTAAACTAAAAAGTTTTATAACTAGTTTTACATATCTGAGTATATAATTTTATACCTTGGACTAAGCAGGAGCTATATTTTGTTTCCTCCAAAAAGAACTACTTATCTAAGATGAGCGCTGCTGCTGAGTAACAAATCTCCATCCCAGACTGATACCACACCCTTTCAGTAGCAAAGCCGTCATATCATCACACACTCAGCCAAACACAGTAATTCAGATCCCCCATGAGATGGATTCCCAAATCTCATTTTTTTCTCTGTGATATCCAAAGATCTCCTCACTTGTCACGAAAATTCCAACCTTTTTAAAAACTTCTCAAAACAAGATTTAAGGAATATAGCCTTGTTCTACCTTTGGGAGCAAAGTGTTATGAAATCTCCTTACTATAGAGTGTCACAATTATGAAAAAGTTGGAAATAGACACCCTAAGTAGAGCACAGCAGAAGTTAGGACATATGATTTCCCCAACGTATGTTTAGGAAGGGAAGGGGAGAAAAGGGTATCACTGAACTTAGTGATAAATACTTAATGGTAGCCAAGTTGAGTTTGGGATTGAAATGGGGACTATGGCTGGAGAATTAAGAAATAAGATGGGCCGGCCCGTTGGCGCACTGGAGAGTGCACTGCTTGGGAGCGTGGCGGCGCTCCCACCAAGGGTTCGGATCCCATGTGGAGACCGGTTCCCGCTCACTGGCTGAGCGTGGTACGGGCGCGACACCGAGGGTTGCGATCCTGTTACCGGTCAGTAAAAAAGACAAAAAGGAAAAAAAAAAAAGAAATAAGAGACTCTATTCTTTTATTATTATTATTATTATTATTATTATTATTATTATTATTATACATACATGTGGGGTATTTAAGAGACTCTATTCTTTTATTATTATTATTATTATTATTATTATTATTATTATTATTATTATTATTATACATACATGTATTATTATTATTATTATTATTATTATTATTATTATTCATACATGTGGGGTATTCTTAACTCACTATGTCATCTGGAATGAAATAGGGATTCAAAATGTAACATTAAATAGATTAACAAATAATCTTAGACAAGCCACTTAACTACAAGGAGCCTATTTTCTTATAGTGCTTTGAAAAGGATTGAACTGAAAACTTTTAGGATCTCTTCCACCTCTAATGACTTGACGAATGTAAGAATCCTCTCCAACGCAAGAGGTAACCCAAGAAACCTCAATTAGAAGCATCAAATTTAAAACTGTTTAGGTAAGACAAGTTAAGTGAGGAAAAAGACTGGGGCCCAGATACACATTATCACAAGAGTTAAAGAATTGAGTGGGTATTCTCTAAGGGTTTATAGTTTCAATCAAGTCAATCCATAAGCACCGGTCAGCATATGGTCCTAGATGAAATACCATGTAGATAATTACAAACATAATCCCAGACTTTGAGGAGTTTCCCACTTAGTGTTGATTAATTATGTGTTTATTGAGTACTTACTATGTACTAGCACTGTGCTAGATTCTGGGAAATACCAAAGTACACGATGGGACTCCTCTTCAAGGTATTTACAATAGTACAATGAAGACTGGGAGCATTTGTAAATAATGACAGACCAATACAAATAACTACCACACAGTTGTCCACACCATTACATATTACCTCATATGTCTCAAGAGTCCAGAAAAGAGAGAGATCTAAGAGTCCTGGGGAACCCACGGTTACTTGAAAGGAAATGGACAAGACTGTGGAGGCATAGGCAGCATTTGCCTGTGAGGAGGATTTTCAGAAACTATTATTTGCTTCCCTGGAAATACTCTGAACTCCTAGATTCTCACTCCCTGGAATGTAGGCACCACTCCACATTTGCATGAGTGCACCATGCAATTTTTCATTCTCAATTGTTTCTTATCATAATTTGGAAATAAAATTAATGTTATACATTACATAGTTTTTTAAAAAACTTCTAGATGTATTGGGGCCACCTATGATGTAAGCTATCCTACAATACCCATAAAATAGTAATCTCAGAGTCAAAACTAACGGCCTAGGTAAAAATAAAGTTCAACCCTTTTAAAATACATTTCTAAATCATTCATACTGCCAGTTATATAAATATTTAGGCTAACCAGGTCGATAATTTTAGCTATTGATTATAATATATAAACAAGCTATCTACATCATGAATATAAGGAACACAGAGATGGTTATTTTAATCAAATCAGATCATCCATTCAGAAATAAAGTCAGTCCATTGAAGATCAAAAAACACCTTTATATTTTCAAGTTCTTTTATTCTTGGCAATTTGTGACTTCCTGTCTTCAAAAATAACCATTAGGAACTCATTTGAATGATCTGGAAAGATTTCTTGTCTCTTTTGAATAATAAGTATTTCAACAAGGAACGTTGTAGTAAATCAGGAATATAAATGATAAAGTTACACATAATCAAGGCAGTTAAAGAAAAAAACTTGGGGAACTAGCACTGAGCCCATTACACATAACTGGTTTGACTGATAGAGTCAAACCAACATATCTATTCCCATCCACCAAAAATCCTTTAAAAAAGAGATTCTAGCCATCAGTTCATAGTACCACTCACTTCCTATCTCTGACCTATTTCACTTTGCTGGAATGGATACTATAATGCTAAGTCCCCACAGAAAGTTGAGTTTAACTTAGAGTGAGTTCAATTCTCAATTCATGGATAATGGTAGCAATAATAAAATAGTTTCTTTATTTATATTTTACCCATTACCTAATATATTCTTCCAATTTATGAGGTAGACATAGCATTTATTTTTATGCCCATTTTGTGGATGAGGAAATTGAGACTAAGAGAAATTGAAAATACACATGGACAAGAACATAGGTCTTCTGCCTCCTAATCCAATGATCAGATCTCCCCAAGATCATACTACGTTCAAACCTTGCCAAAGCAGCTGACAATTCTATAGCACCCCTCAACTATTTTAACCACCCCCACACTGAAATGGCATAAACATGTTTGATCTTCGCCAAATCACATAACTATTTTGGTCCCTAATTTCCTCAATCTTTACAGCACAGTACATGCACATTTAATTAAAGATGCTATAAAGTCCCTTTTAATGCTAGTGTTTAAGGATGGATTAGTAGTGCAGCTTAGAAACCATTAAGACTAACAACAGCAAACCAACCAAAATAAGTTGATTTGATTACTATATATAGAAAATGCCTAAATTGTATAACTTTGATTTTAATGAACGCTTAATGTCAAAATTAGAGGTTACTAAAATATATTTTACCCTCTTCCAGGTGATTTGCATTTCTGCTTAACAGATAATTTTGAGGAATCACTCATTGCTACAGTGCACAAA